CGAGGGGCGGGGCCAAAGGAGGAGAGACAGACTTGATTGGGTGGGAGGAGGTGATGGAGGAAGGGGGCGTGGGCCACAGGGAGGGAGGAGCCGAAATGATTGGCCTGGGGGAAGTGGGGGCGGGGCTGAAGCCGGGAGAAGGGCCGGGACTCCAACACCGCCTAGCTGGACGGGGCGGAGTCTCCGATGAAACACACCGATTGGATTTTTCCGAGAGAAAAGGCGGGACCGATCGAGGTGTTAAAGTAGGCGAGACCAGCCTCTAACTTAGTCTGTATTGGCCGCACTAGGAGAATAGAGGAGGCGGGGCTAAATATGAGAAGGAAATCTGATTGAACTGAAAAAAGGAGCGGGGAGGGCGGAGGAAGGGGACAAGTCCTGGCGATTTCAAGGGGCTTGTCAGTGACTGGCTGAGGCAGGGGCGGGACCACAATGAGGCCGTCCGGATTGGATAGAGGATCGCAGGCCTGGACCTAAACAGGCGGCAAGCAGTACCAGGTGAAGAAGGGTAGATGGAGACGGTTATGCTGGGCTCCTAACATTGCTTGGACGGTGCAGGGTGAATCTTAAGAAGAGGGAGAGCCACAAAAATTAGAAACAGTTCTAATTGGGCTGGGAGAGTGATGGGGCGGGACTGAACGTGGGGCGGGAACTGGAAATGGAGAGTGGATAGAAATGGCACTAGGCTAGAGCCATTTGAAAGGGGACAGGACAAGGGGAACAGAGACTGAGAACTAGTGAGAAGGGGGGCGGAGATGAGCAAGGACTGGAAACCTGAGACCTTCTGGCTAGGATTAAGGGAGGGGGCGAGATAAAGAAGGGATGGGGTCGGAGCTGCAAGCTTGGTCTGATTAGATGGGGCTGGGCTGGGAGAATGTCAGGATGGATGGGGAGGGACTGAAGGAAGTGGGTGGGGTCTACGAATGATAGAAACGTCTTGAATGGGCTGTGGAAAGGCAAGACTAAGAGAGGAGCAGGGCTTTAAGGGGCTTGAAAGCAACCAGGCTAGGCGGGGGCGAGGCGGGACTAAGAGAGTGTAGAGAATGGATAAGGAAAAGTTGCGACCTGCAAAAAGTACAAAGCTACCAGGCTAGATGGAGCGGTGGGACCTAGAACGGGGAGTCTTGGGGGCCAGAGAACCTGGAAGAGCGCCCTAAGGGTCATCAGGGCCTTAGGGAGGGGACGAGAACTTCCAATTGGTGAGGGAAAGGGGATGAGGTCTAGATAACGGAGGAGTGAAGGCAGGACGAGCAAGGAATGGATCAGAAGTGGTGAGGAGGGAGTACTAAGGAAGGCGGAGGAGAGAAACCAAAACACCGAGAACAGGCTAGGCTAAGGCAATAGGCTGGACCAAGGGGAAATTGGGCGGGATTAGGTGTCAGAGTCAAGGTAGGAGGGCAGAGGTGGAGAGTTGGGGCGGGGCTAATGGAGGACAGGGCCAGAGCTAGGAGGACTGCCCCGGAGAGGGTTAGGCCCCGCCCTCTGGGCTGGCCTAGACGCAGGTGTTAGGGCGCAGGCGCAGAACCGGGCCAGTGGCTGCGGCGGGAGAAGGCGGTGCCTGTAGGAGCGGAGGGGGCGGGTCAGGGGCCACCCGCGTCCCCGCCGCACTGTCCCGGGCTCGCCGCCTCCCTCTGCAGGTGCGGCGGCTGGTTGGTATCGCCTCCCTACCCATCCTCTCTCCCGTTTCTGTGTCTCTTAGTCTCTTTTTCTCCCCTCTCTCTGAATATTTGTCCCCTCGTCTCTGTCCTCACCCCTTCGAGACTCTTGGCCGCTCCTTTCGAAGTCTCTGCACTCCCTCTGGGTCTCTGTACCATTGTTCTCTGAGTCTGTCCACCTCATTCCGAATCTTGCCGCTCTTCTCTCTGAGCCTCAGTCTCCTCTCCCCACGACTGTGTCTCCGTATCACCACTCCCAGTCTCTTTCTCTTGGCCTCTTTACCCTTTTCTCGGATTTACCTCCCTTGGTCTCTGTTCCCTTCAGTCTGTCCCACTTCTTTGTGTCTCTGTCTTCCACTTCCCCCACCCCCAACCCCAGGGTCTGTTCCCTCTTCTCTTTGGGTCTCTGCCCATCCATCTGGGTCTCTGCCCATCCATCTGGGTCTCTGCCCATTCATCTGGGTCTCTGTCTCCCTCGCTCTTGTTCTCTGTCTGACCACCTCCTTCTAGTCTTTCTCCCCTCCTCCAACTGTTTTCTCCCCTTTGTCACTGCCTTTTCTCTTTCTGTCCTTTTTCCTTCTCTCTTTCCCTTCCCTGGGTCTCTATCCCGCCTCCACCCAGTGCCTCTTTGACCCCTTTCTGAGTCTCTGGTCCCACTTCTTTGGGACTCTGTCCCTCTGTCCTTCAGTCTCTGGATCTTTGTCACTTTCTCTCTGGCTCCCACCCCATCACCCTCTCTAACCCTCATACTGGCCAGGACTTGAGGCTGCGTCACTGCAGAGAGTTGCAGAGTGGGGCCTGTCCTGCGGACCAGGGAGGTAGTTTCCCTGAACTTCCCCACTGCAACTGGATTCCCCCACTGCCTCCTGATCCAGTAACCTCGGGCAGTCTTCAAGCCCCCAGTGGGACCCAGGAGGGCAGAGAAAAGAAATTGAGGCATCCAACTCTTCTCTGCCCCGAATTCTGGTGTTTCCCCAGGCAGAAGCAGTGAAACCTGAGATGGGGGAATTGGGCTTGGGTTGAGCGAGGCATCCGGGCAAGTCGAGGGTGGGGGTGAAGGCTGGAGCAGAGGTTGAGTAAGCACTAGGGGGCTGGCAGTATGGGCTAGGGTAAGGACCTAAGTCAGCCATCCTCCCTTATACCCTCCCCCTACACCCACCCCAACTCTACTTTTCTCTTCTGCATTGATAGCAGCCAGGCACGGGATCAAGTTACCAAATCAGCGGTTTTTGCAGAGGTCAGAAGGTGTGGGAGGTGGTGCGGGCTGGCGGGGATGGTGGGGGGAGGGCAGTGGGGACATGGGAATAGGGGACAGTATGGATTGAGACTCGGGATTAGAGACCACGGGATAGGGGGAGGAGGCTCGGTTAAGGAGTAATAGGATGTTCCAGACTTCGTCAGGCCCTGGGAAATTTGGATGCCGTCACTCCCACATGGCCCTCCCCAGACCCCACCAAGGTATACGGGGATTTGAGCGCCTGAATTCTCCACCCATGGGGGAGGCATCTGGAGACACGATGAGGGCTTGGGTTAAGGGATACCCAGCTCTACAAACAGACCACAGGGAAGTGAGCTCGATTTTTGGCGACAGACACTAGAAAAGGGGAAGCCAATGTCTGTTCACGCCTTCAGACCCTTTTCCCATTTCTCTTCCTTCTTAATCTATCCTTTCTCAGGTCCTCAAGGCATAAAATTCCTGAAAGCCCCTGAAATCTCACCTCCCTCATCCTCGGGACCCCCTCCTAACTCTCCCTCCTCCATTTCCCAAAGCCCTGGAATTAGGGAAGGATCTTCCCCTTCCTGACTTCTAGGACCCTGCCTTGTTCCTCCGCCCCAATTCCTTTCAGTTCCAAATCCAGGAAAGACGGCCTCCCAGGCACTAAAGCTGAAAATATGGGGACTCCCTGCCTATGATCCTCGGTTCCACCCCCCCACCCCAACCCCGGCCCGCAGACTCTCCAAGTACCTCTCCGCTGTATCTTTGAATCCCTGTCTCCTGAGTCCCCCTCCTCCAAAACTGGGATTTGGGCTGTCTTACCGCCCCCAACCCTGAGCCGTCTTCCCCTCCCCCGTACTCACCCCAAGTCGAGGCGGGGCGGGAATGGGGGAATTCGGGGCTGTCGATGGGGGAGGGGTGACCCAGCCCCTGCAGCTCTGGGAAGCAAGAGGCTGCGGAGGGGGGGAGTGACATCATCGCCGGAGGAGGGACAGCTCAGCTCCCCACAACCCGGGGGCTTCAAGCCCCGCCTTTATGGTGTGCCCTGGGGTCCAGGAATCCCAAGGGTAGAGAGGAGGAACAGGAGATGAAATCTGTGGGAATAGCATCCCCTCCCCTTAGAACAAGGGTTGGAAAACCCTTTACGATTTCAGCCACCCCTACTGCCACCTGTCGCTGCCTTCGCGACCTGTCGCCGCCTTCACGACCTGTCGCCTCCTACGCGTGTTGTGGCTGCGCCCGCCCCCGACAGGACGTGAACACGGCCTAGACTACAACGTCCGTGATGCTCTGCGGTGTCAGATGCCTTTGAAGAGAGGCAGTGTAGGCGAGGGGCTTCATGGGCTTCGTAGTATAGGACCCACGCTTCAGTGTGAGCCTTGGAGAAAAGGAGTTATACCTTTTAATTTCCCATTAAAAGGTATAACTCCTTCCTCAACTCCACAGAGCCGGACACTAACTTTTCTCTGAAAAAATCACGCGCTTAAAAAATAAAGAAAGAAAGAAAGAAAGAAAGGAGCTACCCAGGTAGGTTCCATGGAAATAGTGGATTTTTACTGAGCAGTGGGGCCTCGGCCACAACCCGGTACGCATGCGCATAACAGGCTTCAACCGAGAACTGCGCCTGCGCGAGCCCACTGCTTCACGGTTCGACCCCACGGACACGAGCGCGCGCCAGCCCCACTCGGGCGCGGCTTTTTCCGTCGCCACGGTCGAAGACGGCCACGTAGCTGCCCAAGAAGACATCGCCGAGAATCCAGAGGGGCCCTGTAGGCGGAGGCATGTCCAGAGCCTTGAAGCCGGACAAGCAGAGGCGGACGCCACCCCGAGCAATCTACAAGGCGACGAGACACGGGTGTTACGCCCACGGGCCTTCCTTTTTCCTGGGAGCCAAGCTTCGACCCGCCCACTACCCTCGGGCACTAGAAATATTTCTGTGGCCCCTGCTTGGTCCTAGTGACGTCTCCCTCCCAGACCCATCCTCTCAAACCCCATTGGCTTGCGTCGCTCTGACTTCATTGTGACGGCCACCTACCTGAATGACGTAGTCCTGAGCCGTAAGGTTAAACCAGACACCCCCAAGGCGGAAGGAGACCTGGGGGAGCGTTGGAATTTTCGAGCACTGGATGAGGTACTGAAGGAAAAGAGAAACAAGTGGAGATGAGGGATTCCTACTCCCCTCACTCAATTTCTTTCCGAGGATCCCCATTTGGGGTAGCTAGGTATTCAGGGCCTTGTGTGGCCGGCTCTGCTGCCTTCTCTAGCCTTATTGGCTCTTCCCTCACTCCTATAGAGTTGTTGCCACTTCCTCTAGGCTCCCATTTGATCAAAACCTCTTTTCCCCTAATTGTAAATCGAAAACTGGTCCTATTGAGTCCACAGGTGTATTTAATTCTTCTTGGTCTTATACTGTGCCCAAAATGTTTTAAACATTAGTCACCAGCTGTATGCTATGACGGTACAGGTTGTATCCTGTGGAGTCTGCTGCTGTGCCATCTTAGGCAAGTTACTGAACCTCTCTGTGCCTCAGTTTGCAATCTGAAGATGCAGATGATACTACCTCACAGGGATGTTGTGTGATAAATAAATGAATTACCTTGAAAGACTGCCTGACACCTAGTAAATGCTAGTATTATTTACAAACCAAGAGCTTTCAAATAATGTTTTAGGGTTTCTCCAACAAACCAGAAGATCTGGCTTTCCCTCCATGGCAATACCTGGCTGGAACTGAGTAACTGAGAATTGCCCTTTTTGGATGGATGGGGTATGTGCTTTCCAGTTTGCCTCAATTCCCACCACTCCCAAATACCTAACAATATAATATTATTAATAACTGCAGAGATATTTATCTTCCTTAAATACCAATAGCAGTTACCTTGTTGGGGAAATAAGGAATGGTGAGAACAAGGCTGAATCGAGAGTGCATAACTCTTTTGAGAGGAGAGATGACATGGCAACGACAGACAGGCATCAGAGCGTTGTGCTAAGCACCTTAAGTGGATTAATCGATTCACAACATACCTAAAAGGTGAGTCTTAGTAACCCTATTTTATTTTATTTTAATTTATTTAAAATAATGGCTTTAGTCATTATTTTAAGTATTTGGTAGGGGAAAGTTTGCTTTAATTAAATATACATACCAGTGATACTGGCAAGATTAAAGTTACTCCTAATGATAGTAACCCTATTTTAGAAATTAGGAAACTGAGGCAAAGGAGTGTTAGGTGACTTGTCCAAGGCCACAGCTAGTAAATGGCAGAGGTAGAGTCCAACCCAGGCAACCCACGCCCGTAACCACCATGATCTACATGGTCCCCTTACAAGCCTACAGACACCGCAGGCGTTGGACTCGGAGCCTCAGAAACTTAGTTTTCTCCACCCTCTGAAAAGTACCAAGTAGCACAGCAGTAGAGTCGCAGAAATTTGGACCTGGAAGGCCCTGCCCGGAAATTGCAGGGCTGCAGGAGCTGGGAGTGGGTGGACTGCTCTTCTGTTGTGCAGTGTGTGTGCTCAAAGCCACTGTGTATGTCTTCTGAGAGCCTACACTCAGCAGGTGCTCCTCTCGGCCCTCTGGCTCCTCCTGCCCTGTCTCTCCCTTCACTCCAGGTAGGTGTCCCCCATGGCTGCTCCGGGGACCTCCTCTCTCCTAGGAGGGCTCCCTTCCTGCATGGCTCTGATCACTGTCTAAAGACTGATGGCCCCTAAATAGGATTCCTGAGGTACTTCCACACCTTCCCCAGACATCGGTAGGCTTCTCCCTCCCATCCAGTCCCGAATAAACGTGCATCATCATCCCCTCCCAACCACCAAGTCACTCAGAAGAGACACTTGGGAGGTGTCCTTGCTTCCTCCCACTAACCCCCAGCCTGTCACTCACAAGGTCCAGTGCCTTCTGCCCTGGGATACCTCCTAGCCACCTGATTAACACCCTCGAGCCGGAGCATCCTGCCCAATGTCCACCATTAAATCCCTATTAGCCTTCCCAGCCCACAGCCACCAGACACGGGGTCCTCACCTCCCCCATCAGCAGGGGTACTCCCCCAATGGCTTTATTCAGAGTCCGGATCTCCTCGGTGGGTCCCGTGATGAGAGATGTGCCTGTGTCCAGAATGGCAGCACAGCCCTGGGCACAAAGAGTCAGCCCTGTGCCCACCTTCACACTGTGAGGTGGAAGCAGGCAGTCATTAGAGCCAGCATCCTAGGAGGCCAGACCCCCGGCCCCCTCCTTCCTCAGACCCAGGAATCCAACCGCCCCTCCCACCACCAGCCCCTCCTCCATCAGACTTAAGAGACCAGGTCCTCAGCTCCCGTCTCTCCAGGATATTGGAGATTAGGCTCTAGAACACTCCTCCCAGACCTGGGACACCAGGTTCCTCACCTCTCCATGTGGATCTGCCAGTAGGCAGGGATCGTGACCGGCACAAAGGTGAGGGGTGGGATGTAGTGAGCTGGGTCTGAGCCACCCAGGACCAGCTCTCCTCCATCAGCTGCCTCAGGGTCCCTGCAGGGGCAAAGAGCTCTCAGTGTCATGGGTATTTCTCCTGGCAGCCCCAGGAGTGGCCAAGGAAAGGACTTCCTGCCAATGGGGTGGTTTCTGGGTTCTAGTTGGGGTAGTGGGATGCAGGTAGGGCCCTGATGTTGGGACTGGAAGCAAGGAAAGAAGTCAAGAGAAATGGGGCTTTCTCAGTGGAGGCTAGGATTTTAGGGTTTTGGGGGCTCCTTGAAGTGGGCAAGGGACTTCTTGATTTGGCTGTGGAAGGGAGAACTTTGAGGGGGAATTTAAGTGGAGCACTGGGGTTTCTGAATTGGCCTTGGGAGGTGTGATTGTGAGTAATGAGGCTCCCTGGGTGGATGATGAGACTTTCTGAATTGCTGGTCTTGAAATTCAGAGGAATTAGACTTTCCCAATTGGCTGAGAGTGATGGGAAGGAGGGGCAGGGACTTCCTGAAAGTGTAGTAGGTGGGCGGGACTTCTTGGCTTGGACATCAGGGAAACTGAAGGGGCATAGAATTTCCTGCCTGTCGGGGATAGGCCTCCGGGAAGGAAGGTGGAGGCTTCCTGGATCGGGGCTAGGGGCTGGGTGCTGGGGCTTTCTGAGCACAGCAAGTTTGAGCTTCCTAAAAGGTGGATAGGATTTCTTAGATTCAAACAGGCAATTCCTGACTTCTGATGGGTGTTCTCAGATGAAATTGGGGTTCTTTAGGGTGAAGGTGGGGTTGCTAAATTCAGTATTTGATTGGGTAGGGCATGGAATTTCCTAGTTTGAGTTTTTGTTGTTGTTGTTTAATTGTAGTATTGTTGATTTACAATGTTGTGTTAGCTTCTGGAGTACAGCATAGTGATTAAGTTATACATTTATATATTTTTTTTCATATTCTTTTCCATTATAGGTTATTACATGATACTGACTATAGTTCCCTGTGCTATACAGTAGGACCTTGTTGTTTACCTAGTTTGAGTTGGAAATCCGGGGCACTTTAAATATTGGTGAGTTTCTTTAGTTGGTCTTAAGGTGTTGCTTAGTGAGTGTGACTTCTGAATAGGATTCTAGTGTTTCTTATATTGGGAAGATGACTTCGGAATGGAAGGTGGAACTTCCTGTGTCGGGTGGGTGACTTCCTCAATAGCAAATAGCTCAGTGACTTCCTAAGTGGAAAGTGGGACTTCCTAAAGGAGGGGTGGAACTTCTTTGTTGGGGCTAGGATTCATAGGAAGGTAGACCTTTCCCCAATACCTGTTGAGATAGAAGGAGAAGACAGGCTTATCCAGTAGCCCCTGGTCCACCAGTATATCCAGTGGGGGCCGAACTCCTCCTACGGCCAGAACAGGAAAACCGAGGCCCAATACCCCATCGAAGTGGGCAAAAGTGAAGACCAGGCTGGGCTCCCACAGAGCCTCCCCAAAAATCACGGATGCACCTCTGAGTCCTCCAATCTGGGGTAGATTCAAATGGGGCAAGTTACTTCTGGGAGAATATTACCGACATATCTCTGAGATCTCCCCAAATAAGGCATGAATCCCAGGCCTGGGGGCACATGGAAACAACTCCAACTCCCTAGGAAGCTTTGCCTTGTAACTTAAGGAGACTTTTGCGCCTTGCCCCTTTCTCCAAGAAGCCCTTCCCCTGCGTGGGAAGCCCCGCCCTCTTCCTCAGGAAGTCCTGCCTCCCAATTCAGAAGTCCCATCACTTCACCCAGGAGGCCCCGCCTCCTCCAGCCCCTCCCTAAATCAGATAATCTTAGAGCTCTTCTAGGTTCTATCCTTCCTGGGGCCAAGGTCAGGCACCGTCAGCTTGTCCTCACTCAGGATGCCGTCTAGGCGCCCAGTTCCGTACTGAATGGCAAACTTGGTCCCATTGGGCCGGAAGGAGCTGGAGGCTTTGGAGTTGAAACGGTGGTGGAACCCTAGGTCAGAAGATCAGGGAGGTGTCACTGGGGGAGACGAGTCTCCTCAGTGCCTCCTGCCCGTCTGGCCTACTCACCTGCAAGGGTGTGTTGAAAAAGAACAGAGCCTCAAAATCCCCTGGGAAGATGGGGTCCAGCACCCCCACCTCCTTCTCCCTTTACCACCATTCAGCCTAATTCTCCCTCATGAAAGCTCACAGCAGGGCAGACTGAAGAAGTGGCATCTCACGGACGGGACCCAGAGATTGGACGAGCCAGTGTCAAAGACGACAGAAAAGTTCTGTGGGGGCGTTCCCAGCCCAATTTGCCCATAATACTGGGCCTGCTGGCAAAACAGGAGAGATGGTGTGTGAAGAGCTTGACTTGCGGGCAGGAAGTGGGGGGTGGGGGGGTCGCTGTGTGGGGCTTTGACTCACGTTCATGTAGTTGGAGAGAGGCACAAAGAAGGCCTTGTCCCCAGGCGATGGGGCCCCCAAACTGGGGGGCTCTGCTGGCTTCTCCCATCCCCTCAGTGGGTTCAGGGTTCTGAGTCCAGTGTAGACTCTGCGAAGTGGAATCCTATGGGGGAGGACATACCAACAGTGAAGGATCTACCCTTTCTGGAGATTCTCTAGAACAGACTTTCCCAAATAAGATATAATGACAGTGCGGACATTTCCATGGCCCTATAATAACAGTCATTACCAGAAACCCGACAAAGGCAATCTTTTGGGAAACTCTACCAAACCATGATGACAGCGGGGAGGGTATAGCTCAAGGGTAGAGTGCCTGCTTAGCATGCATGAAGCCCTGGGTTCAATCCCCAGTACCTCCATTAAAATAAATAAGTAAATAAATCAATAAGTCAATAAACCTAATTACCACCCCCCACCAAAAAACACTGTGACAAATTTCCCCAGACTCTCCAAGAGCAAACCATACCAAACAGACATTTTCCTGAAGACATTTCAATAAAAGACACTCCAAAGAATGGAAAATAAGTCATTCCCAGGGAATGGACATACACAAGGTTTTACAAAGATCCTCACATAAAACTAGCCTTGGCAGAAACCTATACATACTTCTCCCATTGCACTGGGAGAAAAAAAATGAAAGAACCAAATCCTAATTTTGCTTTTTACACTTAAGTGGATTCCAGATATATCAAATGTACAATGCACTGAATGTGCAATGTGAAATTGTAAGAGCACTGGAAGGAAGCAAAATGTTTAAATAACTCTAGGGAAAAGATGGCTTTTCTAAGCATGATACCAAGATCAGAAATCATGGGGTGGAGGGAGAATATAGCTCAGTGGTAGAGTGCATGCATAGCATGTACAATGTCCTGGGTTCAATCCCCAGTTCCTCCATGAAATAAATAAACCTAATTACCTCCCCCCTCCAGAAAAAAAGAAAGAAAAAGAAATCGTGGAGGATTTGCTGTACACCAGAAATTAACACAACACTGAAAATCAACTATACTTCCATTTTAAAAAAATGTTCAACAAGAGAAATAAATAAATACATTTTTAAAATTTAAAATCATGTGGGATATATTAAGGCCAACTCTAAAAATTTAAACTTCTGTTCTCTCTCCCCAACACACCAAGCTGTGAATAAAGTTAAAAGACCAAAAATTTAAAAATCTATGGAAATAATTACAAGTTGTATGCTAAAGAGCTCATGTCTCTAAAATGTAAAGAGCGTCTATAAATCAGTAAGAGTAAGATAAACAATCCAGTGCTAGGAGATAGTTCTTCGTGGGTCTCTTCTGTTTCTGCAGAGATACAGACTACCTGTTCCCAGAGTGTCTTTTCAAGGATTTTTTTAGTGAACAGCTTTGGAAGAGAGAGTCTCTCTCTCGAGCAAAGGGCAAGCAGGTGTATGACCCATTGTAAAAGATTCAAGTTCCCCAAGCCTAGGCTTCCCCTCCTGTAATGCAGCTCACTTCCTGAGCAGACGTTTCCTGGCCCCCTTTATTTCTCCCTATGGGAACTGGGGCTCAGAAAACTGACACAAACACTGATATTCTGTCTACTACTATTGCTGAGAGTAATGAACTGTCCTTTGTCTCTGACCTGGGAGTCTTGTGTCTTCTACCAGCAGCTGTGAAACTGTGCTAAGCTAACTTCACAATTCTTTGATATTAAGTAGGAAAATTGGCAAAAGAAATAAGCAGGTAATTTTCAAAAGCAGTACAACTTTTTAAAATTTTTTAAATTATTTTAAAATTTTGGGGGGATCGTGGGAGGTAATTAAGTTTATTTATTTATTATTTTTTAATGGAGGTACTGAGGATGGAACCCAGGACCTCATGCATGCTTAGCACAGTGCTCTACCACTGAGCTCTACCTTTCCCTCTAAAAGCAGTACAACTTCTAAACACAGGGGAGGATATTCAACCCCAACAGTCATCAAAGAAATACAAATAACAAGAGTGGGTGACCTTTTTTCTTTGCCCTGCAGATTGGCAAAGAATTACCAATACTCTCTGTTGTCTAGGAGGTGTAGATTGATAAAAACTTTCTGGAGGACAGTTTGGTAATACTTTCATGAGCCTTAAAATTGTACACAATGTTTAACCCAACTCAGTTTCAACCCAACTCAGTTTCAGTTCTAGGAGTTCATCTCTGAAAGAGTAGGAAACTAACAGAATGGCTTCCCTGATGCTAAAGCTGTTTTCTGATTCATTCTGACTTAAAATTCTTGCAACTTGTTTTTCTCTTTTCTCTGACAAGCCCCCATATCTGCTTCACTTGCTCAACTGCGTTTGTGCTAAACAACCACCAGCCTTTCCATTATACTCTCCACTCCATAAACATTCTTCATCTAAGATAGCTTTTCCTTTAACCCAGAAGCTGTATTCCAGAAAGGTGGTCACAGGCTGATAGCCTGAGAAGAATGAACAGACCCTCCTGAGTTTCTCCATGAGATTCAGGTGGATTCATCAAGATTAAGAAGAATGCAACACGCTGGAAAACACCGATTGTTGTCACCTTTCTGTTTCATCCTGTTTTTCTATGAACCTCAGGACACCAAGCCCAAGATGGAGTCACAGTCTCTAAGGCACAAGCCTGCTGTGACACCCCTTTGCCTGGCAAAGCAATAGAGCTGTTCTTTTTTGATTCCTCCAAAGCACTGCCTCCAAGCCTCAATTTGGCTACTGGGGTTCAGAGGTTGGGTTTTAGGCAACATCTACAGGAGATCATAGGACAAGTGCACAAGGATGTGTTTATGAGGATGTGTCTAATTTTGAAAGCCGGCATCCATCCAATGGCCAACACTGGGTACAACTCAGCTCTGCGGCGGAACATGCATAGAATGGAATCCATTAACCACTAAAAAGCGGAAAGTAGCTCTCTAAGCCAGTGGTTTCTCAGGGTGATTTTGAAGCAGATTCACCTAGAGCAGGGATGGCAGGCAAAGTTTTTGGTAAAAGTTTTGCGGGCCATCCATCCCTATTGCAATGACTCAATTCTGTCAATACAGCACAAATGCAGCCATAGGCAACATGTAAACAATTCAATGTGGCTGAGTTCCATTAAACTTTATTTGCAAAAACAGGTGGTTGGCAGGATTTGGCCCTGGAGCTGAGTATTTTGCCAATCCCTGACCTGGAGGGCTAGTTAAAATTCAGAACTGTTTATTTCTGACTGAGTAGGCCTGGGTCAGAGCCCAAAGATTTGCATTTCTAATGAGTTCCCAGGTCCTGCTCATGCTGATGTTGTGGGTCTTGAGTCAACACTCGGAGAATCACTGCTCTTTGTGTTGACTTGAGAAGTGGCCATGATTTGCTAGGCTCAAAAACCAGGTTAGCAAACATCAGGTGCAGTAATATATTTGTACCTGCCTGTAGTTGCTCCTGGAGGCCCTGCTCTCCCCACATCTTTGCTGCCACCCCTCATGTCTCAGTCTTCAAGAGGCTTAAGAATGTGAAGTGGAGAAAAATGTTTCCTGGAAAAGTAGCCCTCTTTCCCCCATCAAGAGTTCCAGGGGGTGGGAGAACAGAAGAGAGGACAGGAGAGATTGGGGGAGGCACCAGAGGTGACGGGGGTCTAGGGGTCCCCCAACCTGGACTTCTTGAGACCTAAATAGTTTGGAAGATACAAATCTGGGGTAGTCTCAATTTAAATGTCATAGACTTGGGTCTCCAAGATCTACTGGAGGAAGGATATCACATGCCTGGAGATCTCAGTATCTGATCATCAAAGCTCAGGTTGGGATCAGCAGAGTCCTCCCAAAAATGTGTACTGAGAAGATTGGGACAGTCCCCAGTCAAGGGTTCTAGGGTAGAGCATCTTGGACCCAATTGGCTTGAGTCTTAGGGGAGAACAGGATGGAGCCCTCAGAGGTGAGAACCCAATTTGGAGACACAACTCATGGGCCCTGGGGGGCCAGGTTTGGGAGTCACTGAACTGGGGAGCCTCAAACTTGAAGGGCAAGAGGGAGAGAGCCCACCCTCAGGATTTGGGGTGGTGGGGGTCCCCAGTACCTGATAAGCGTGGCCCTGGCGGGCTCCAAGATCAACAGCGGTGACAGCAGCAGGAGCAGCAGCGGTGGCAGAGACATCTCTGGGGACCTGCGTGTGGACCTAGGTGTCCAGCGGCTCGGTTTCCTTTCCCCTGAGACTCCGCCCTGTTCACCGCCCACCTCTGGGTTTCAGAGGCAACAAGGACATGAAGTCTCTCCGGTGGGTGACTCCGGAGCTACAGGTGGGTTACAGGTGGTATTTTTGTAGGGTTGCCTGAAGTATTATCCTAGGTCACTAGCGCATCTCACTCCCAATTTTGGTGGTGGTGGTGGAGGGTCTCCTGCGCCCCTCCCCCCTCCATTCTTTAGCTACTCTTGCTTTTACTTACGACTTTCACTTCATTTTTCTGTGACTCATTAACCACAAGGGTTTTCTTGGGTAAGCGAAAGGATGGGCGGGGTGTTTGTGAAGGGTCTGGGGGAAGGGAGAGTGTCAGACTAGACGCCTTCTGTCCCATCTTAAGTGGAACTGCTAGAGTGTCAGGATCCCCAACTCTTATGGTTTTATTTAGAAAATACTGAAACACACACACAAATAAAAAGTGTCCATAGCCCCCCCACCATTGAAAAAGTATACAAATAGTTTGCAGTGTCTCTGTGTCTCGGCCTGTTCCTTCTCTTCCGAGGTTAAGTTTCTCAGACATTAAGGAGCATCCGGGGAAGTGGGTGTAGCTCCCTGGTAGAGCACCTGCTTAGCATGCACGAGGTCCTGGGCCCAATCCAGGGTCCAACCTCCATCAAAATATATATGTATATTTAAATATATATATAATCCAAAGTCCTGAGAAAGTGCCCCAGAATCTGCATTTTTAAACAAACCCATGGATCATGGGGCCACAAGCATTTCTGAGAAGCTCTGTTCAATCTTTTTGCTTTTCTAGCTTACATTTACATGTAATATCAGCCTATATATTTTTAAAGTAAATAAAAGCAGATTTTTCTTCTTGATCAGCAATTTTTTTCCCATTTAACCATATACCTCGGACTTATAAAAAATTAGATATTACTTAAAGTAAAATGTACACATCGTAAGTCTACAGCACGATGGCTTTATTTTCCCTGACATATTATTATGAAGATTTTCAAGCATATAGTTGAAAGGATTATATAGTGAACCCCCATGACCCACCACCTAGACACAATTAACATATTTCACTGACTTTTCTTCTTTGCACATCTGTCTGGCTGTCTAGCCCTCTATTCATGCAGAAACCCTTGTTTTTACTACATATACTTCAAACAAGTTGCAGACATCATATTCTTCACCTGTAAACACTTCAGCTTGGTGAATTTTTACATATGTATGTATCTGAGTAACCACCACCTAGATGGAGAAAGAGAACATTTCCAGCCCTCTAGAAGGTTCTCTTTCATTGTTCCCCAGCGTCCTCCAAAGATAATACCCTGACTTCTATGACCACAGATCAGTTTCACCTTGAATGTCACATAAAATGCATCACATGAATTCTTTTGTGTCCAATTTTTATCACTTAGTTTTATGTCTTTGCATGTCTGTTAAAGTCAGAGCATAAAGATTTACCTCATTCTTTTTTTTTCAAATGTTCAATTATGAAAACTTTCAAACACAGAGCTAAATTGAAAGAATTGTACACTGAACAGCCATATACATTCTAACATGAACTCTGCTATCTTTGCTGTATCACATGTCTATCCATCTCTCCATTTCTTTATCCCAGTGGTTCTCAACTGGGGAGCTTTCTTCCCTCCAGGGGACATTTAGCATTGTTTGGAGATATTTTTGGTTGTCACAACTGGGGTAAGGGTGTTACTGGCATCTAGTGGGTAGTGGCCAAGGAAGTTGCTAAGCCATCTTACAGCGCACAAGACAGTCTTCCCCAACAAAGAATTATTCGGCTCCAAATATCAATAGTTCCAAGGTTTAGAAATGCTACTGTGTCCATTCCTCAGTCCATCTCATTTTCTTGATTTCCAACTAAGTTGCAGACATCAGTATCCTTCATCCCTTATACTCAGCATAACTCATTCTTTAAACAGCTATGCAGTATCCCAGAGCATAAATGTAACACAATTTATAGAACCCAGGCCCTATGTAAATTGTTTCCACTTTTCAACTTTATAGACAATGCTGCAGTAATCATCCATAAATATATTTTTCCATGTGCTTGTTCCAGTAATACCTACATGTCAATTTCTGTGCACCACCAATGACCTGGATGTAAGTTGGTAGAATTTTTTTTTTACTTTTAATTTTTTTTGGTAGGGGGAAATAATTAAGTTTATTTATTTATACTTAGAGGAGGTACTGGGGGTTGAACTCAGGACCTCAGGCATGCTAAGCATGCACTCTACCACTTGAGCTATACCCTCCTCCACCCCGGAGTAAACTGGTAGATTTTAATACATATTGCTTAGTCACTCCCCAGAGAACTTGTAATGATGTATGCCTCCAACATCAGGGTCGATAATAACCTCAACTTCCCCATAATCTCACTGATGCTACCTGTTATCTGATGGGGGAAAAAAAGAAAAGCCTGTTTATTGTTACTAAAATGTTCATTTTCCTGATTACAAATGCTGTTGAGCATTTTTCTTTCTTTCTTTCTTTTTTTGCCACTTATATTTCTTCCTTCAGGAGTTCCTTTTCTCTTTTGCATACATATATACATACAAACACATATAACACAAAGAGACACATTTTGAGACTCCTTAAAAACTCAAATAACTCTACAAGACTTAGGATGATGAATGAGTCCTGCACCATCCTTTTCCTCCAATTCTTTCCCTCCCAAGAGGCAATCACTTCCACCTTCTAACTGATCATTTTGGCATTATCTCCATGTCTCTAAGTAACATATTTCTATTGCTACTTCTTGATTTGTCAGCTTTAGACATCCTCTGCTCTACCATGGTGGAAAGTAAGAGTTTAGCTCTCTTCCCTCCCTCTGTCCACACTTCTTCCATACACTCTTCTCTTTTCTTTTTAGTATAGTTACATAAAAATCTTGGTGAGCTCAATAACCTGCCTCAGGGCCTTTGAACAGGCTGTTCTGATCAAGTGTTTTCCCTCCAGAATCACTCCCCCTCCTCCTTCCAATAGTTTTCCCTTAGCACTTGAGATCTTCTAAAATTTCCTTAACTGAAGTTAACATGACATTAACTAATGTTATCAGTAGTAAGCTATGGTGATAATTTCTTTTTTGGGGGGTGGGGTGGGGAGGTAATTAGGTTTTTGTTTATTTACTTACTTATTTATTCATATATTTATTTGGAGATACTGGGGATTGAACCCAGGACCTTGGGCATACTTGGTACACACTTTACCAATGAGCTATACCCACTCCCCAATGATACTTTCTATACTGGTAAATGACTTATTACCTTTAACACCTGTTCTCCCCATTAGACTCTGATCTCCACAAGGGCAGGGATCTTGGTCTGTTTCATTTGCCACTCTGTCCCTAGCATCTAGCAAAGTCTCAATAAATACTTTAAACAATCCAGTCTGAGCGCTAGTTGCTCTGAGAGATTTCCCTGACACAGCAGATGGCCAGTTTCTCTACAGTAACTCTCACCGCCTCTCCCCCTCCCCTGTCTCAGCAGCTTCAGTACTCAATCTTGACACCTCTGAATCCCTCCACCCAGATTCTGCATTACACAGTCCCAATTCTTCCTCTCTAAGATTAAGTGGTTTCTGAAAGGTTTGAGAAGGAAAAGACAGGCTCGGCTAACAAGCTAACTCGTGAATATAAGTTAGTAAGTGTCGGTTTGCTGATTCCCTGCTCATGTTTTTTGCTAGCCAGCTGGATTTTCAGAGAGACATATCTGGCCTTGACATGTTGATTTGCTGCCTCCCTGCCTCTACTTTTGTGATAATGATGCTGCTAAAGCTGTTCCATGCCTATTGGCCGAATACCCCAAGCTTGTAATTAACCCTGTAAAACCTCATGCACACGTCTTGGAGATGCTCAGAGCTTCAGAGCAGAAGCCCCTCTGAGCCCGCCGGCGTAATAAATCTGAGTACTCCAACCCTCCGAGTGGTGCTTGTTTCTTGGCTGGCCTGTCATTTCCGTAACGGGTCTCGCCTGCAAATTCATAAATGGTCACATGGTGGAGGTGTGGGCCTCTTTTCTCAGTCAAGAGCCTATCTTTCCTCACCACCTATATCGGTTTCTTTTCTTTTTTCTTTTTAAGAGTCCTAGTTTATGATTTATTCAGATCCTGTGAAGTATACTCCTAACAGCTAGAAATGTAAAGCCTTATGATTATCTACTCAGTCCAGGGAAAATATATTCTGATCAATCTGTCTGATAATACAGTTTGATTTGTATCGACTGAAATAAAATGCACAACCTGAAAGCTGAGAGTCAGGTTTTATTCGACAGATTTTCTTAGGACCCAAGCCCGGGACACAGCATCTCAGATCACTCTAAGAAGCTGTTCCAAAGTGGCAAGGGAGAAGCCAGGCTACACCAGTTTTTGCAACAAAGACCAAGTAGTCAGAATATCGAAAGGTTACTGGTAATGAAAGAAAATCAGTTATCTCAAGTTAAAGAGTTTAGCGCTTTTCTGTGTATGGGAAGGTAAGAAAGTCTGGGCTCATTGAAATCATTCCATTGATAGGCACCTAGCTGTCTAGGGCCAGTGTCCTGTTCTTCCCCACCCTGGGTCCACTCAGGGGGCATGACTGGGGGCAGCTGCAGAGACCTGGCTGCCTGCTCATCTGCATCCCGAGTTCCTGCTGCTCACTGTCAAGGGGTGGCCGTACTGGCTGATGACTTGATGGCTACAGCATCCTTTCACAGCATATTAATTCAACTTAATTGACTGCGGTCCAGCAAGTATTTAGTAAGCACCTTCCCCAAGGCAGCAATTTTTAAATTTTTTTTTAATTTTTAAACTTTTCCTCCTTGGTTTCTTGAACTGAAATCCTAGTCCACATCCATCTCTTTTAAGCCTCTCTGCTTTTGTCCCTGCTGCCTAAAATGCCGACTCCAAGAAGCCAAGTTATTCCTCTCTGACTGCCCCCTGCTGGAGATAGTGTAACCTCACTTAAAATGGCTTTTCTCATGCTAAATCATGCTTAAGATTGATTTTAAACAGCACAAATTTTTTCCTTTTCTTAGAGCAAAAGCCCACAG